CAACAACAAAATTAATTACTTTTAATTAGTTAAATAATTTAATTTAAAAACAACTGAAAGCGATATCAGTTTGAAATATATGAGTTATACATTTTTTATCAGTCAGAAATAACGGAATAGAAATAACTGATAAATAACTGTTCACGCATCGTAATATTTTTAGAAAAAACCAATCGCCAAGTATTTATAAAATTTGTTTCGATGAAAAACCATTAAAATACAAAGTTCAAAGACCTCGCGGTATAATCTGGCAAAAGTCCAAAAAGCTTCGGCCTAAATTCTAAATTATTTCTGAAATTATTTTATCCCTCGTTTTTCAGTGGTGAATCAAACTGTTATTTGGGGGGGTTATTCACCTAACAAAACCTGGGGATTTCATATTAGTTATAATTTTTTGACAAACTTAAATCTAATAAGTGTTTTTAAAAGTAAATGAGCATTTTATATTAATCAAAACATAATATTGATAATATATTTAATTAAAAGTAACCCATCCAAAAGATGGATCAATTTTTTTAAAATCGAACTACATAAACGTTTCATATAAGGAAAAATAATACAATCGATCGTATTCTTAATTGACAAAAATAGTCAACCGCATTGACTATCGCGTTGGGTCTCATCTAATCCCATAAGTACAACATAGAATAATGAACAATATAAAAATATCTCTATGTTTGTGAATACCCTTCTTGTGACATGATATTGTTAAAGGTTGTTGCCTGAATTCTAGGTAAACTAGAAGAAAATTTTCACATAATAAAGCCCACTAACGCAGTTCTCACAAAAAAGAAAAAACATAACATTACTTAATTAAGTACTTCTTTAAAATACTAACTATCGCTCGTAAAATAATCCAATCAAAAACATAAATGTGAATAAGTGGCCTAGTTTGGTTATGAGACGTTCGTAGTTCGTTCGTAAAAGAGTTGAAATCTGAACGGTTGCCAAGTTCTATGGCAGTTCCTTAAATCGTAGCTATATATAAATGTACGACGTTTTTCAATTGATTAAAAAGAAAACGTATTACGTTCTTTGATATTAAGCTGCTAACTTAGGCTAGACATGCGAAATTACAAGGTCTAACAGTTTTTGAGTTATATTTCAAAATTAACGTGAAATGCTAAGAGAAAAATCAAAGTAAAAATTACTTAGGAGTATTTCCGTAACATTTTAAGAGTTTTGAGAACAGATTTGTAAGAAGCATTAAGATGTTAATAATAGATGTACATATATTATGTAAATTTCATTTTCTAAGCTACAAAGCAACATAACTTTTAAAGTTAATTAAAAATTATAACATATTCTGAAAAAAGAAAAGTATAAGCGGTGACTAGACTTATTGTTTAAAATAATTTTAATAAACAGATGGCACTGTCGTTGTCCAAGCACATGTGTAATAAAAAATTTAATAACGCTTTTATTGAGTTTTGTAAAAAGGTGGCCATATTTTTATATATTATTATATTAAATAAAGTCGAGTATATTTTACGTGAAAATTTTCGATATTATAACGAATTTTAAAATGTTATTCCTCTGAACTGAAGATTTAAAGACTGAGCCGTGGTTGAAGAAAAGCTTTTGACGTTAATTTTGTTGAAGAAAGACTGATAGATAGTGCTCTAAAATCTGCCATGAACATCCAGAAATGAAAATAAACATTTTTTCTAATACTGCTTTCCGCAGTAAGGAGTCTAGGCTCCGATTCCTCACTTAATATATAGCTATAGTTAGCCATTAAGCGAGAAAAGAGGGCGTGGACCTGAAGGACTGATAATCTCTACAACAAAGGGCACAAATGTACAGGGTTATTTTTCAAAGAGTAGCCAAATTTTAACCTTAAGTTCAAATGTATAAATTATAATATTACGTTATTGCAGTTTTTCCAATTCGAGTAAATATGGCTTCTACTTTTTAATCTCAAATTGAATGTGATTTATGGGCAACAACGTTTTGACCCTTACGAATTTGTGCGTGCGCAGTAAAATCAGTTAAAATAATGCATCACCACGCATTTTGAATAAAAAAATAAAGAGGACAAAATGTTTATTTGTTGTGATTAATGTTTTTCACCATTTACCTATATTACTTATTCTGAACCTTCTCTGCAAATTTGGCCGGTTACTGCAAAATGAACCTGTATGAAAAACTCACAAAGATTTATATTTCACATTCGGTTAAATTGAGTAAATGGCGAAAATATGAATCTCCTCTATAAGTCATTATATAAGTCTGCAGAGTCCTTGTCAAAATCCCTAATATAAGGCAATTTAAGAAAAGGCCTATGGTTATCAGTGGACTTTTGATTGGCTATAATTAATGAACGAAAAGGATGATTAATTGCCCTGCCCTATAGATATGAGCCCTTCAGAAAAACGACCCGCATGATATGTATCGTCTAAAAGCACAGTGCACGTTGTTTCGGGGAAAAATCTTTATTGTAGCAACTATATCATAGTTGTAGCACGAATGAGGTAGCGAGACCGGGGAAGGACCACGCTCTCACGGAATACCAGCGTAAAAAAACAGCAAATACTTGTGAATGTAGAGAACCTGAGACCACTTGTAATGGAAACTAGACATTCTATCTTAATGCTCAGGGGTGACAAAGCACCTGCATTTTGATTCTTAATCGAGGATAGATTTAGATGTCCATGGCCAGGGCATCCACTTACCATCAAGTATAAGCTCGGTTGTCACCCTTAATAGATTTTAAAAAACTATGCTATAAAACTTAATAATTATTACTTAATATTACACAAACAATAGCAACAATAGATGTTTTTACTCTTCTAAAGCAACAAGACTGATTAAAGGAGTTGAAAAAAATTCATACAAATACATACGAGTACATGTACTCTTAAGACCACAGAAAAAAGTAGACAGAGATTGTGGACTTCAATTTGACACGATCCTGAGAGACCTTTCTCGCTTTTTTCATGTTTGTACTTAATCTAGCCCATCTTCAATAAATCACCGATTTGGTCGTTGAAATTGGGAAATGTATTTCTTATATATAAAAGCTTAAGCATTTCTCCCTTTTATCCCGCCTATACTTGACCTTAATTTAGAAGCGGGCGACCGTTTTTCTAAATTTTTCTTTAATACTGAAGTTCTTGTCGGGCTATGTTCTTAAAAAGCGTATTAATCGCAAAATATTTTATAAAGCTAAATATTTTTAGAAGAATTTTTATTTTCGGCTTGTGTTTTTTCACTACTTTAGTTATTTTGTCCGTGTTAGAATATCTACAACCTTTTTAAGATAATTAATAGAATCAGGCGTTACTTTGCGGAAATTCATTACAATAAAGATTAATATGTAATTCGCAACCATCCCCATTAATTAAATACAATGATGTGTCATACCTGGATTGAGGAGCACCTCCCGCCCTCCCTCAATTGCGTGCACTTGTGGTGTTGGGAGTAGTGGTGCTGGGACTAGTGGTGGCGGGATTAGTGCACGCAATTGAGGGAGGGCGGGAGATGCTCTTCAATCCAGATGAGACACATCATTGTATTTAATTAATGCAGATGGTTGCGAATTAGATATTAATCTTTATTATCTACACCTCCTATTGTCCCGTAGGGATCATATGAAGCTGGAGATGGATACAAACTAGGAGAATAGCAGCAAAATCTTCTTAATAACAAATAAAAAATAAACTGAATAGAGTGAATGGGGCACTACACTCTATTATGAAGAACCAGAATGTGTCAAAAAAGGCACGTATGGTAATTCATAATGCTGTGTTAGTCCCTACTTTAATGTATGGTAGTGAAAGCTGGGTGTGGCAGAAGAAGCACGAAAGTAGAATAAATGCTGTAGAAATGCGGTCTTTAAGGAGTATGCTAGGGTTGAATCTGAATGACAGGGTGAGAAATTGCATGATAAGAGATAAATGTGGTATACAAGATGATGTTGTGACCAGGATTAAGAAAGGAATGCTTCGGTGGTTTGGTCATGTAGAAAGAATGAATGAGGAAAGAGTGACAAAGCAAATTTATATGGCAGATGTGAACGGCCGAGTCGGGAAGGGACGCCCTAGAAAAAAGTTTATCGACCAAATTGGCGATATTTTGAAAAGGGGCCACGTTAGAAGTACCCGTAACCTGACGAGCATGTATGCGTAGATATATGGATGTAAAGGAGGCGAAAGAGGTATGTCAGGATCGTGCCAAATGGAAGTCCGTAGTCTCTGCCTACCCCTCTGGGTGACAGGTGTGAGTGTTTATGTATGTATGTAAAAAATAAACTGCAGTTGTTAACTCGCCTGCCAAGCGTGGCAACTGTAGCAAATGGCAACTGTAGCAAATGGCAAGTGCAGTCCTCCCTATGGGGCAATCTACGAAGGAGACCTATTGTTCAGCAGTAAACTTTGGTAAGCTACGACGGCAACACCAAGTTATTACTATAATACGTCAGAAATTATTAAATGTGTAAAAACTGAAAACATTGTAGTCTTATAGAACAGTTTCTTTGACCTTTACAACACAGTATGCTGAACTTTATCATTTAGTTTGATGTGGGAAGAGAAACTATATAAAAACAAACTTAGTTATAAGTTTAATTACATTTCCCACGACTGGTTCTTTATAGATTAACCAAACCAATCTTTGTTCTTCAATCAGACAATCTGGCGTTAATCTAGTTATATAGATTAAACAAGATTGATTTTAAGAAGACTATAATATATATTCTGTTTCAACACTTTAATTTCACTGTTATAAAATTGAGATCAGATGCATTAAACTAACTAGAAAGTTACTACCAAAGGAATAAAAATATGTATGTACTCGTATTACATTTATGGTTATGATAAAAATTCAGTTTTTATAGGTGGCGTGATTAAATGACAAACATTCAAACAAACGAATTTTTAAATTTTTAAAATATTTGTAAAATATATAAATATATAGCGACATGACGTCATATTTTATACTTTTACTTAATAAATATAGTCTCTACGAAATGTAACACAAAATCTCGTTCCAGTAGAATAATGTCACTCGTGCCACCTGGCGGCGCGGACTCTCCAAGCCCAAGGAGAGCTGTAAGCCCCCTATTAGAAATGCGGAGACCTCACTGCACACTAGCATGTGACTATTGCGCAGCAATTTTGGAAGACAAGTTTAAGCGTAAGTATTTGAGGTAGAAAAATTTTAGTAAAATATTTCTACCTATTTTTGAGTTAATCTAGTATCTAATATTAAACATTTTTGTAGCTGATTTAATTCTTCACAGGTAATTAATTAATACAACGGACTACAGAGTAACTTGTTAAATCAGTGCTTAATTTACTGACGTAGTATATTACAATGTTGTTCTTTATGTGAGCCTGATTATAATCATTTATTATAAGTTAAAATAGCTCACAATAATATTTGAATATAATCTAAAATAACAAATGAATAGTTACAGTTCAAAAGGATTTAACGCAGGGACAGAATCAGGGACTGCGACATTTTTTTATAAAACTGAAATGACGAACGAACTTTTTATACGTAGTAGAGCAAAGCTACAGCTATATTGTGGTTGTAGCTCGATGGGTCGGCTCAACCGGAGAGGGCCCATATCATCATTCATCATCATTACAGCCCTTCACAAGTCCACTGCTGAACATAGGCCTCCCCCAAGTAATGCCACAAAGCACGGTCCTGAGCCACTTGCATCGATCGACTTCCTGCATGTCTTACCAGGTTTTCACTCCATCTAGTGGGGGGTCGCCCTACACTATGCCTACCGGTACGTGGCTTCTACTCGAGAACCTTTCTTCCCCATCGGTTATCGGTTCTTCAAGCTATATGGCCGGCCCATTGCCACTTCAGCTTACTAATCCGTTGGGCTATATCGGTCACTCTGGTTCTACTGCGGATATGCTCATTTCTGAATTTATCACGTAGAGAAACTCCGAGCATAGCCCTCTATAGCTCGCTGAGCGACCTTGAGCGTCCTCATACGGCCAGACGAGAAGGCCGACACTCTCACAGAATACCAGCGTAAAATGGCTTAATCTATAAAAAAATTACAGCCCACCATGCAATCCATGGACACCCATGATCAAGTTTAAGCAACGCATACCAAAGATGAGTTGTTACCTCTGAACACTAAGATCGGAAACCTCACAACCTGTAATTATATAGTCTCTCTATATCCTTCTGATTTGAACGCAGCAGTGCGAGCACTTTTATTTAGCGGCAGAAGCCGACATAACTCTGCAGATCAGTAAACTGAAGTAGCAATAGGCCGGCCATATAGTCCAAAAAACTGATAACTGATGGATGATGATGGATTCTTGTACGGGTAAGCGAAGGGTAGGCGATTTTTTACAGTAGTAGAGTCAAAATTCCGCTCAAGACAAAAACAGCTTGGGACAAGCTGAGCAACAAGACTAAAGCGACCCACGACCAGCGACATTCTTTGTTCTTCTGATTTCTGCAACATCAGAAGGCTTCACTAGAACCTAAATGCCCACCTGGAGACGGAGTAGCCGGCTGATACTTCGTATCTTCCTCACCCGGGGTACAAATCTTTTGTGCCTCGGGCTAGAGTTTGCATATACACCAGAGAAGACATCTGTTCTCGACGCCTCGGCAGCCTTGAAGGTTGGTCATTAGCGAAGACCTGTCCATCTTTTGGCTACGCGTAGATAGCGACGACTGTCCGCTCACCTACGAGCGATCTATAGGTCCTATAGTGGTAATGGTCCAAACCGACTTATCGACCACGTCCAACTGGCTACAAATTCCTTGCTACAGCAGGTACCATCCGCAGAAATCGTGATCCTTGGTGATTTTAACGCCTATCACGCTGAATAGCTCGGTTTACGTGTAACTGATCGTGGTTGTGTTGGTTGTGCGCCGTTGGTACTATAGGTCGGCCGATTGGGATAGGATGTGGTCTTTATTGCATCCTACCTATGTGGCGAGTTTGCTTCTCCGTACAATTCCAACCTTGTTGCCAATTTTGTCGCTGATGTGGTATGGAACTGTTTATTCCTTCTGTGATGCTCATATAGGGCAGATCTCAGACATGATTTGGTCGCTCCTGTAAAATAGCATCACGCTATAAACAGGCGTGTTACCGGGCCTAGACTGATGCATCAACGTCCCGGAGTATAAGCACCAGCGCCCTTAAAAAGAAGTAAAATTCTGCCACCAGGTCCTTTAAAAGGGTCATTGCCAAGGCAAAGTAAAGTACATCGGCAGAATAGGTGAGGAACTCATGCGTTCTGGTCTCTCGCCAAAGCTTTCCAAGGTTACTAAAAGGCCGGCAACGCACCTGCGATTCCCTTGGTCTTGCAGTTTTTCATAGGCTGTGGTAGCCACTTACCATTAGGTGAGTCGCATGCTCGTATAAGGACAAAGGCGGATGCAGGAAACGATAAATGCAGGTGGCTCAGGGTCGTGTTAAGTAGCAATCCTTAGTGAAAACCTTAGATGGTTAGAATTTGTATATCAACTTCTAGACGGTGTAATATTTCAAGTAAAATTTTATGTTTATTTTATCAATTCAATGTACTTTTTTTCTTAGGAAATGCAGATGTGAGAAATCGGGGTACTTCACCGCTATCAGCTTCACCGCGACAATCATTGACGGGTGAACCACCTTGGACAGTTCCAGAAGACGATCGACCTGACTTCTCTGCCCTTAAGGAAAATATACAGAAAATTAACAAGTAAGTGTTCTTATAACCAACCATAAGTTTTCTTGAATTTTATAAAATAGAATATGAATTTTTATATTCAAGTAAGAGTCGTGCATGTAGTTATTTTTTAAGCTTAAGTATTTGTGTAAACGTATTTTACACGTGATACACGTCGCAGCGTATTAATGCTGTGGCATGGACGGGACGGCTCGACCGCAGCATAATGCTGTTGTTTTGTATGGAGAGTAACGAAAATCTTAGACCTTTTAACTAGTAACGAAGCACTTCATAATAGTCCTTATGGGTAACAATGCAACCGCCTTGTCGTTTTTAAATGAGAATATAAGACGATTTGCCAGTACTCAGAGCTGCATTAGTTTTGGGAAGTGAAACGTGTTATAACGCAAAAATTAAGTGTATTTTCTAATAATAATAACGAAATAATGTCTAAAAAATATATACTACGTTATATATAATATATACTATATTATATATAATATATATACTACGTTAGTATCATTTATTACCAATCAACTTTTTATTAATTTTTGCCAAAAATCAATGAGGGTAGGTTGCTTATCGGGCTTAGGAAAAACTAGTTTAGCCTAGGAATTAATAGTTTGTCCGAGGGCTTTAATTTTTATTTGTGTGTCTTTTTTTTAGGATAAAAGTGTCAAACGACGACATAGTCCACCTGATCGTTAGTAAAATACTGTGGCCCATAGACATAGTATAACCCCTGAGGACTATGATATAATGTCTCGTTTCCAGTAAAAAGGCTCTTCGGATCTTTATACTTACGACACGAAACACAGCAGCGTTAAGCTGCTATTTTACGTTAGTATTCTGTTATTATAGCACATACTTCACCCACCACAGCCATTTTGACTTATTATACTTATCATTTACTGTTTTAACAATATTGATTTGAAATATTATATTATGGTAAGTTGTTACTGCGAGAGCTACATCCAGAATCAACTGCAATTCAATTTTAAATAATAACGTTAAGAGCCGTGGCTAAGAAAAAAAAACTGCAGTTTCCCCGCTTACTGTGGCAACTATGGAAAATATCTCCCTTATCAATTTGTGGGGAGGACTTTGTTCAACCGTGGACTTTCATAGACTGTAATGAACGAATTCCAGGTCAAATACTCGCCAATAAATTTCACAGTATGCGAGCAAACTGGGTTCGTTCGCCGCCGTCAATAAGTTTTTAATTGTAATTTTAAGTGCTGATTTATCACGTACTTGGTGGTGCGGAAAAAGTTGTAAGGAATTCTATATGTTTGCGGAACAAAATATTTCCGGCAAGTGTGAAGTATGTGAGAATAGACTGAAGTAGAACGGCGGACTAATTGCTTAATAAGTGTGGTGGGATAGGTCGTAATAACTTTACTAACTTTACTTACATGAGCGTCGTTACCCCTTTGGACTAAGATAGATTACAACAAGACCTATAATTAACCCTTCAAGTCGAAACAACAGTGGAAACTCTTGCTTGGGGACTGACTGCAGTAATGAACCATACCACTTAAGAAAGTTTTTCACGAAAAGTAAACATATAAGTAGCACGTTTAGACTTCATTTAATTATTATTTTATTTTGGTTATATTTATATTATTTATTTTTTGTTTTCAGATTTACATTTCTTTACATTTTTGTTTTATTTAGGATTTACAAATGTATTCAGCATGTAAAATCTAAATATTTTTTTAAAAGAAAAATTCTGGCGTAAATTTATAATTACAGGTATGTGAAAAGTATTTATATGAAATCTTGCTGAAACATATTTTTACCAACCAAATGAAAACAAATTTGTTAATTTAATTTTAGGCTTTATTGTACTTACCTTTATTTTGACATTTTCGTTTACAGTATACACAAATAAAATGATTATTAAATTAGTAAGAATGGTGACTTAATTATATTTAAAAATTTCAAATATATTTATTCAAATTTCAAATATTTCATTATTATAAGTCTGATGTTTTGTTGCCAGAGATTGCGAAACCTCTACACGCTTGGACATGTTACTAACGCAAGTGGAACAGTATGCTAATAATTTAGAGGCATTAGTCGAAGAACGAACATCAGATTACCTAGAAGAGAAGCGAAAGTGTGAAGAGTTATTGTACCAACTTTTGCCGAAGTAAGTTTTGCGCAAGAAAAATGAAATGATTTAAAGTTGCATTAAAAATATGGATGCATGCAAAATTATCTAATATATTGCGTCAGTAGTGAGCAAAATCAAAACTTTTAAGCGTTGGTTCCTCCTGTCAAATTAAATATTCTATTTTAGTTGACGTTGGATGTCTGGCATTATACTTGGAATTATAAATAAAACCTTGATCTACCGTTTATTTTTTATTTGATATGGCAATATTTGCAGGAATGCTTTATTTTTGAAAATGAGTTTTTGTGGCACCAGTCCTACACAAATGTTAATAAACGAGATAGGGTACATGACGAGTTCTTGGTTTGAATAGTCGATGTTACCAACTAGTCCTACGAAAAACTCGAAACTATAGTTGATAACGAGCAATTGAAAGCTACACTGGAAGTGGATTTTTTTTTATAGAAGTCAGAGTTTGTTGCTTGACGTGAGTGGCAAGCCTTTTAAATTCATTAATAACCGGTATTAATAAAATGGAGATTTTGCTGGAACTTATAGAAAGACTATAAAAAATTCGTGTCGAAATTTTCGAAGCTTTAATTTGTTGAATATGCACAAAAAGAAGTCTATCTAACTTGATAAGAAGAAGCTATTTGTGATTCTTTGGTGCACCTGCACCAATATTATATGTTACATACATTTATGGCTCTTTGAAAGTCTTATCAATAATTGCAAATAATATCAATCAGCCCTTTTCTCTAGTCTCCTTTTTGTCCACGATTACACAACACATCATCCACACACTCATTCAAAATAATGTCAAACTTGGTTTCCGAACGTTTTATTAGCAATGTTTTTTTTTATTTGGATAACATTAAATAAAACAAAAAAAAAAGAAAATTGTTACACACTCTCCACAGACTCTCAAAAAGTCACAAAAGGACAAAAAGAGAGAGAAGATATTACTCTGTGTTACGTTGTGATTTTTTAAATAATATTTGCGGCATCAGAGGCGGCTAGAGTATGTAAGTGTCACAAAGAGAGACACGCTCTAGATATGCTTACAATATTTGTACCATTTGCTAAAGTTAAATCTCTTGAAGTCCGTGAGGTTGACGTGCGGTAAAATTCTTAAGAACTGTATCCACGACTTATCGTCGCCGCTGCTGAGAGGCTTTGTTCTTTTCTCGATAAAAGTATTTCCTTTCACCGAGGAAACTCAACTAGTGATCTTGCATTATATAGTGGACCTGCTCACCATGCTGACACTACGAACTGTATGAGAATTTAAGTTTTTGTTTATAGTTTTTTGTATGATAATAAATATTGCATATTTTAATATTAAGTACGTGTATAAATAAATGTATAATAGATAAATCATTAAAAAATTCTAGGCATATTTTTTATCACGTATAACTAACTATATTATGTTGGTTAGTGCTAGTTGGATTAGAACCAACTAACTATTATTGAAAAAAAAATTAACATTCCACTATGAAAATCAACGATTTTCAAAAAATATGGAAGTTATTGTTTTCACCACGGTTTTTGAAAATCGAGTTCATCAGATCTCGACGTTTTACGATTTTACGTTCTAGGAAGCTATTTTGGCTATTTTTGTGACGATGTCCGTATGTCTGTCTAAACACACATACAAACATACGGACACATACACGCGAGTTACGTTTGCGACAGCTTAGGGAGGGTTGAAGTCGAAGGACACGAATACTTTTTCTTATATTATTTTATTTTCTAACTTACAAGTTAACTTAACTACTGTGACGATGTGTGTACATAGAATTACTATACTAGTGAACTTACAAATTAACTTAATTACTACTGGGCTCTCTTAAAAATTAAACCTAAGTTTATATACTAGGTTAAAACGTGCTGGGTTTTGCTTAGCAGTCGGCAGGTGATTTCCTGATGGCACTGTGTTGATTATTCTTAAGTCACGCGTTGTTATTTGCTTAGCCTGCGATGTTAAATTGTAGGTGACTTCCTGTTTGCTTGCAAGTTCTCGGTAGGCATATGTAACTCGCGTGTGTATGTATGTTTATGTAAACATGTAAATATCTCTGAATTAAAGATTTTTGAATATTATTCTATAGTAAAAGTTTACCCACTTTACACAGATCCGTTGCATCTCAATTAATAATGGGCCAACCAGTAATGGCAGAGACATATGACCAAGTGACTATTTACTTTAGCGATATAATTGGTTTTACGCAACTATCCGCCGAATCAACACCATTAGAAGTCGTCGATCTCCTTAACGATTTATACACAAGCTTCGACTCAATTATCGAAAACTTTGACGTATACAAGGTAATTAAAAGGATTTTTTTATGATAACTAATTTAATATATGATAAAACTTGTTGTTATTTATTGTTTTTGTTCGCTTTCTCATTGTATTAACTTTTCATGTAAATATGAGGTTTTGAAATGTAAGTTCAAATTTTTCGAAACAAAAGTTAACGTAATTGGTGTTTTTTTTAAATCAAAATATTACGACCTAACAAAGAAATATTTAGACTTTTGTTTTAGCTATACGCGAAAATAATATAGAATAAGTTAGTTACTATCATTAGTTACTAAATTTATGCAGGTGGAGACAATAGGTGATGCATACATGGTGGTATCAGGTCTACCCATGCGTAACGGTAATCGACATGCAGCCGAAATTGCACGAATGTCTTTGGCTTTGCTCGGAGCAGTGCGTGTAAAGACAGTACCACATCGACCTGGGGAGAGGCTTCTACTACGGATTGGAATGCACACAGGTATTACTTAAACACTTACGTTTTTGTAAATAATCTAGTCTAAGATTTATTATTGCACACATTTTCTTCATTTTACTTTACTACCACTATTTGTCATTTGATAAAAAAATAATGATAATAATTGGCTATATTATGATAACCGCTCGATCCGCGGAGTGCAAGATATTATACGAAAATAACGAAGATATAAAATCTCCAGATTTTTTTATGGGGTTATCGTAAAATCCGTCCTTAGTAAGCGTCCGTTCTTAGATTACTAAATGAGTAGCTATACTAAACGTAGAAGGTGTATATTTATGTGTGTGAAGGTAAACAAAGTAAATATGTAGAATATATATTTACTTTGTTAACCTTCGTAATTTAGACATGGATATAAATACTAATTTATTTTGTATATAAACCAAGTGTTACTGAGTACACTGACGTGCCAGAAAGTCGCACTTAATGTATGTATGTCTTTCGGTATCGCTCTCAATAGAGTCAATATACATATTTGTCGAGTGTGTTTTCATCAGTCGAGGGGTGAAAAGTGGATTGCGGAAGCCCTTCTGGCTATGCTGAATGTATGTAGAGCAATAAATGATTAGATGGATGAAGTATGCGAAATGATGAGTGATAGAGAAATAAATATGTTATGTGTAAAAGAGACTAAACGAAAGGGAAATAATGCCACTGTGGTATGTATACCGCGTACTGGTCTGGTGTAGACGAGACCGAGCGGGCATGCCAGGGAGTCGATAATATCATCCTTTCAGAAATAATGGGTCAATGTGTGAAAGAATAGGAATGTGTAAGTCCAAGGCTGATATAAACACGAATTAATTAACGTGGGCTTAAAGAAGCTGTATACATTAGGGGTGTACGCCTTGGAAATTTCTAAGCCCATTTATATCCGAGAGCAGTTTTGGGACATGGTAAGGATGGTGTTGATAAAATGTAAGGAAAATAAAAATATTATTATTTTAGGAGACTAATGGAAGGGTTGGGGGAAGAGGTCTGGTTATGAAAGGATATTGGGAACGTTTGGTGAACGTGTGGAAAGAATCTTTGTGACGAACACTTTCTTTCGTCATATGAAGATTCACACGTTTACATGGGAAAGAGGTGATAGAATCATGATAGATTTTATAATTTTTGACGAAATAATGAGGAGTATAGTGGTAGATACAAAGGTTTATCGGGGTTCAACGTAGGGACGGATCATTGTTTGATCTTATGTCGAATTAATGGTCTATGTAAGCTTTGGCGGCATCGGACACCTGTGTCGACTACTTCACTATAGCATGTAAGAATAGAGAGGTTACAAGATGGAGGTATAAAAGAAGAATAAATGTAGACTGAGGGAATATATTGTAGTGTATTAATTATTTAGACTTGAAGACCCTGTGGGATAATGTTAAGAAAAATTTGGTGAATGCAGCCACCGAAGTATGTGCTGTAAGTAAGAGAACGAATGAAAGGAAAAATAATAGGGTGGAATGTTAAGGTACGGATGGAAGTTAAAGCAAAGAAGAATGGTAAATCTGGCGGTATGAATGATGAGATTGAAATAAAAAGGCAGACTTTAGACGTCTAAATAAGAGATTAAGAGAAGTAGTTGAAAGAAAAAGCAAGAAATAACGGATAAAAATAAAAGAAGAATATCTGATAACTTCTAGACAAATATTACCTGTATATACCTAATGTACACATACCAAGGGAAATGCAAAATAGCCTAGAATAAATGCTATACGAGACGAGAACAGATGTATTCTAAGTGACGAAGTTTCGATTTTAAAGAGATGGAAGGAATAATTTGAAAACGTGTTTATAAGTGAAGAGTCCGAGTCCAAAAGAAGTGTAAAAAGGAAGGGAGGGATAACCGCTCAACAGTCAAAACATCCATCCCGGCTATGTGTCAAATATCTTTTGTCAGTAACTGTCATCAATTGCGGCGATTCATTTTTTTAAATACTTTAATTAATATTATACTTTGCTTTTAGCACTATTGCTATAATAATATATAAATTTGGATAAAAAAAACATGTTTATTATATTTATTATATAAACCATAACATTATACCCACATATTTAAATAAAACACGAAATTAAGTAAATTATTTCTCCCGAGCAATAAATACAAGCCGCAATGGTTGGAAAATATAAGAAATGACATTATTTAGAAAGATACTGTTGAGGGAGTATGTGCTGATGGAATAATTAAAGTAATGAAAAGCATGAAAGCAGGTAAGGCAGCTGGATATGATAGAGATAGAGATAAATCACTCGAGATGCTAGAGACTGGCCAAGAAAGGAGAATGAAAGTGAACGCAAGTAAGATGAAAGTCATGACTTTTGAAAGAGAAGAAAGTAAAACGTTATGTGAAATAACAATAGAAGGGGAGTTGATTGAGCAAGTGGATGTATTCGTGTATTTGAGATGTATTATGGTAGATATGATAAGGATATAGAACGACGAGTGAATGCAGGAAATATTTTGAATGGGGCTCTACACTCTATTATGAAGAGTCAGAAAGTGTCAATAAAGGCACGTATGGTAATTCATAATGCTGTGTTAATCCTTACTTAAATGTATGGTAGTGAAAGTTGGATGAGGCAAAAGAAGCACGAAAGTAAAATAAATACTGTAGAAATGCAACCGCTAAGGAATATGTTAGGGCTAAATCTAAATGAAACGGTGATAAATTGTGTGATAAGAGAAAACGTGATGTGCAAGATGATGTTGTGACCAGGATTAAGAAAGGAATGCTTCGGTGTTTTAGTCATATAGAAAGAATGAACGAGGAAAGAGTGACAAAGCAAATTTATATTGCAGATGTGAACGGCAGAGTCGGGAAGGGACACCCTAGATGAAGTTTTATCGACCAAATTGGCGATATTTTCAGATTAGGAGCACTCTTAACCGACGAGCGTGTATGCGTCGATATATGGATGTAAGGGAGGTGACAGATGTGTGCTAGTATCATGCCAAATTGAAATCTGTAGTCTGTGCCTACCACTCTGGGTGACAAGCGTGAGTGTTTATGTGCTATGTGTTTTCGTGTGCTTCTACCATAGAGACTGATTATGTTTGATTTCTCGAACTAATTTTATTGCAGCAGACATATACTTGGATCAATCAGCTAAGCGATCTTATGTGTAATGTGTGGTAAAGCATAATTAGTATTTAATTAATAGAATCAGGCGTTACTTTGCGGAAATCCATTATAATATAGATATTAATAGCTACTTTGCAACCATCCACTCAATAAAATAAAATTTGACTGTACGGCGGCTGTACCGCTGAGTTTTAATGGTCAGCTACCGTAGAGGCTACGTGGTAGAGCCATGCTGCAGTTATATTAGTAGTATAGTTGTAGCACGAATGGGTCGGCTCGACCGGGGAAGGACCACGCTCTCACAGAATACTAGCGTGAAATAGTAGCTTAATGCTGCTGTATTTCGTATGGTGAGTGTAGAGAACCGGAGACCCTTTTTACTGAAAATGAGGCATTCCATCTCAGTCCTCACGGGTGACAACGCATCTGCATTTTGATTTGTAATGGAAGATAGATGTAGATGTCTATGGGCCGCAGCAACCACTTACCATCAGGTGGACTGTGTGCTCGTTTGTCAGCCTATTCTATATATATAAAAAAAAAGAGTCCGCATCACCTGAAGATGCCTCGTGTAGAGGCAAAACACGTGTCGTATTATCGTCGATGGTGTGTCTTTCCTAGAATAGTGGTGTTGGAGTGTGCGCACTCTGTGTGCACGCAATTGAGGGAGGGCGGGGAGTGCACGCAATTGAGGGAGGGCGGGAGGTGCTCTTCAAACTAAGTAAGATACATCATTTTATTTTATTGAGTGGATGGTTCCAAAGTAGCTATTAATATCTTTATTATAATCAATAGTTATTTCGTAACCATCAATGTAAAGTAACTTTTATTATAGGACCATGTGTGGCGGGAGTAGTGGGCTTAAAAATGCCACGCTATTGCTTGTTTGGAGATACTGTAAATACTGCTTCAAGAATGGAATCTCACGGAGAAGCTCTCAAGATTCATGTTAGCCCAAAGACAAAAGAAGTTCTAGATTTATACGATTGTTTCGAGCTTGAATGTAGGGGAGAAATATCAATGAAGGTATATATCACGCATTACTAATTGTAAAGAAAAATATTTTATTTTATTTTGCAATAATCTTAAGTTAAAACTCTTTTTGTTTAAAGGGTAAAGGAAAAATGACAACTTACTGGTTGATTGGGGAAAAGTCAAACGATACGAAAGATAAACCAAAAGAACAAATAAATTGTACTCAAACAAATAATCCCAGTATAACTTTCCAAGGTCCTGATAGCCCCGCAGCGCATTCCCTCACTTACAGCCAAAGTCCGGAACGCAACGTATCAAAAAATTATGGCAAAAACACACCGGAAGAAATATTAAGTGAGAGGGATCGTATTAAACATGAGATCGCAACTTTTGTAGCGAAAGACCTCATAAATAATATAGATATTGCCGTGAAAGAATTTAGAAAGTCACAAAGTGCTAATTTTAACTCTAATTTGGGGGCAGTGAGCAAATCCCTTTGTAATGGCAATGAAAGGGTACAAATCACACCAACGTACGACAAAGAACTAGTTTTCAGCAAGGGAAAGGTACGTGATGTTGTAAATAGATTCAATAGCAGCGTTAATAGTAATACTTCTAGTAAAAGTAAAAGTAAACCAATGTAAAGTGGAGAATCTTATTATGTTGAGGTCGTTCTAGCTCGGTCTAAAATACCTGTACTATTTTGTGTGTAAGGGCCTGAATCTTTAATAAAAAACTAAACGTGCAAAGCACGTAATGTAAGTAATGAATATAAACGGTAAATGGATGATTATAGTGAGTGTGTTTACGTGTGATTACCCTGCTCCGAATTTTAGTAGTTGGAAAAAATGTTGACGTATTTAAGGCAAATATAAAATAAATTAAAAAAATATATGTCTACAACGGATTAGAATTGAGATCCCTAAATGATCTTTCATGAAAGCTGTAGTGAGAATTTTTTGTGAATAATAGAAATATATACAAATTACCAAATAGTATTATAAATTAGATCCCGTAGTATTTATACCAATCTTTTGATACTTCTGTACATTTCTTATGAAATGTTTTTCCTAAATGTTTCAAAAGCAAAGCGATTGCATGTTTAGGATAAGAATGTTATTTGTATTAATAAGCACATAAGCGCTTATTGTTTGTGTTTCAAATTATTTCATAATATAACCAAATACTTATATTTATTCCTAGAATACTTTGGTAACTTTATAATTTATATTCTTAAGGTCAGAAAATATTTCTAATATTTGTCCCACTTATTTGATATTATAAGCACTTGTTTACGCAATGTTTCGTTCACTTCTACTTCATAGATTTATAAAAGTTCTAGGTGTTTAGGATTGATCGTTATATTTAGTATTAAAAGTCGTTATATTTTATTAGTGTAGATAAAATTATCTATTGTTTTTTTCCTATTTAAATGTGTTTTCAGTTCAGTTAGAAGCTTAGTTTTGTTAGAAGACATTAAATGTGATTAAAGTTATACGTATAGAAATTATTATGTGGTTTGTTTTTCACATTAAAGTTTAAGTCAGCCGTGGAGTTGTTTTACAAACATGAATTTCAAGGGGACGAAAACTCAAACCCGAACAATTACTTGAAGATCATGCATGTACTTAATTACGGGTATCAAGTCCCAGACTAAACATTGAGCTTCAATACTAGTCCCTCAAAACAACAATACCCTTCTTAGTATTTTACTTAAACCGTCTCAGTTTAATGATTTCTTATATTTACGCGAACACTACACATTGAAATAATACTAGTTTTTACGGAATTTATCGCGTATATTTAACTTTTTAAATACCTGATGTGAAGAATCGACGCTCCGGGAAGTCTGCAGTCTGTGAACACGTACAGGATCGCCCCCGTCACTACATCAGATTTGATAGACCGCAAATCCTCGCTAAAGAACACCGATTCCTTCCAAGGATGATTCGCGAGGCTATTGAAATCAAAAAAACATCCTAATTTCAATAGAGAAGGTGACTGGGTGCTACCATTTGCTTGGGATCCTATAATAAATAAAATTAAATCCCAACCCAAGCATACAACTGCTAGACTTCAAGATACCATAAGTTCATACTGCGTAGATCGGAACAAAAGTTAAATTTTAATCTATGGTAACCGCGGTTAACTATGACATATGGACGTTGAACATCTCAGTCCCGCCCGTGACCATGAGTGCTGTAAAGCGTTCGAAACGTCGGGTATTTAAAAAGTTAAATATACGCGATAAATTCCTTAAAAACTAGTATTATTTCACCGTCTCAGTTTATCAAAATTCTACTGCTGAACAGTGGCCTCCCCCTCAGATTGCCTCATAGAGGTTTATTTGATATAGCTGCTAGGCTTGGCCGGCAAATTGGCAACCGCAGTTTTTCAATATTTCAAGTTCTTCTCTGAAAGATCCTACTTCCCATCTCCTGATTTATGTACCTCTGTCGCCCATTACGACCCTCACGGACGGTATGTGGTAGAAGATATTCTTACACCGCTACTACACGGTACGCAGCTCAAGTACGTTCATCGGCGACGAAGCTCAAACTAATTTATAGATCTAAATGTAATCAAATAATGTTCACATACTTTGAGTGTTCTGAAGTATTGATTTTAAAAGAATATGGGTGGCAAACGTGACATCTATCCTCGATTAAGGACTAAAAAGCAAAGGCGTAGTCACCCCTGTGAATTAAGATGGTATCTTAACACTCACTATGCTTAACACAGCAGCATTAAGCTGGTATGGTGTGAAAGTGCGGTTCTTCCCCGACAGAACCAACCTATTAGCGCTACATCCATAATATAGTTGCAGCATCGCATCTATAACGTTCAAAATCTTATCTCTTTTATCTTAATTTATCTTCAAAACATATAAGTGGTAAAAGAAAAACAAACTCCGCATATTAGGCAGTTTCTCTGAACCAATTTTTATCCTCGCTCAAACCTTCATAAATAATTCTTGCTCTAATCGACCTTCGACTAGTAGATTATACTATTGCATGTTTCAGAAAATGTTTCTCCAAATAAGAAACGACTGTTATTTTTTGACTAATGACCATCTTGAATTCAAAAATATTCATCGTGGTCAAATGATCGGATATCCTGGCCACCATGCGGTGAGTCTGGTGTTTGAATTTCAGACTTGGTTAACGTTTGCGCAAAGACGCAATTGGTTTTGTTGTGATTTTTCGTTGTTATGTAACAGTATCGTTTAAATGAATTCGATTAAAAATATGCCTACAACTAGGCAACAGGGGCAAGGAGTGGAGCTATGTCGGACTCATGCCGACTACATCCCATGGTGTTTCAACTTCGTCGCATATCGGCAGGGCCACCATAATGCTTTTTCTAGTAATCTTGGCAGCTACTTGGTTATTTTTGATGACTATTCTGTCATAAGTCTCAAACAAGGCACACATTCCTTCCAACTCTATATCTAATAATATTCGAAAAATGTCACCGCATCTACTATTGCTAGAACTAGTAATATTAAAAATGAGGAACCGATAGATATATAAAATAATAATATTAAAAATAATGTACTGATTTTTTCAATCATTATTATTATTTAGCAGGCCGTAAAACGCTACTTCTGTATATGCACCCTTCACATTGAAGGGTGAATTTGCCTTAATAGTTACGCTTGGCGGAATGATGATTGTAGTGCCAGACGTCTCGCACTTTTGGCACTGTTTTACGTTGATGGTTTGGGTAATTCATGTCATACATAAACCTATACAACTTAGGGACTTTCCAGAAAAGAGCCTACTCCTTTTAAAAGGACGGCAACGCATCTGCGATTCTCCTGGTATTGCAGTTGTTCATGGGTGGCGGTAATCAGGTGAGCTGCATGCTCATTGGCCTCCTTGTACTAAAAAAACTGCCCAAGTGCGTGTCACGTGTACAAATACGTGGGCTTTCTTGATAATGAGCGCATTAAGTGAGTTCGCTCTTTGTACCTAAATAGGACGATGGTAACTGTAGGACTTATTTTCAAATCAGACTTATAGGCAGTGGGTATACAAAAAAGATTAAAAAAATTTCGTTTTTGAAAATAATACAATCTACATCAAATCATTCAAATTCCAAGTAAGTACAACGATGGTCGTAGTAGGACTATCCATCTATATATTCCTGGCAGTGCGGTATATGACCGTAACGAAGCTTTTCGTAAACCATCACTTCACATGTACTGAATTATCCTGACGGTCGCACGCGTAAACCGAAAGTACCAAGAATTAAACTGTATGAGGCTATATGATTGTATGAATACCTTCATTGAGGCCTACAATAACTATCAACTAAAAAATAAGCGAAAGAAATAAGTAAGCAAAAACGATCTACCCTGCCTCTCCCGCGTAGGTATAAAGCTATAGTAGTAATGCATATAAGTCGCTTTCTTCACAAAATGTTTATTTCTTACAATTTACAATAACATTAAAAAGCTATAACGCAGCTAGTTTTAGGTCATTTTATAAGTTGGTCGACCATTCTCGGTAACTTGTTAATTCTACTTAGCTGTAATAGTTTTCTTTTTAACGTTTTCATTCTTCACATTTTCAAACACAGCGTTTTAGGTGGTTGGGGGGGGGGGACACATGACTCTAATGAAAAATGCCACTTTAAAGCTAACTATTTCGCAAACGGGCCTCTTAATCGAAAAGAAGTTCTTACATACCACCAATATTTTTAAACGATGAAATAGACGGTTAAAAAAGAATTATCCTCCATTTACTAGTATGGGTGGTATTCAAAATAAAAATGTTTTTAAGGTTTTTTTTTCACAGTTATGCAGGCGTTATTATTATTATTATTATATATCTATAACTGTGCCATATTACAAATTTGTAGCACCAAAGGTCTCTGAATGAGACCGCGGACGAACTGACGGATGGACGGACATGGCGCATCTATAAGGGTTCTTTGTTGTTAAACTACGGTACCCTAAAAATGGTGTAACGCCTTCTCTCGGAAGCCATGAGGATGGCATTTCCCACATTCATCTCTTAAGACACTCACGGGAAAAATATATTAAATGGATTCTCCTATAACGCCTCTGCACGGCCGACAAATCTATCACAATATTATTTCCAGTCGATTTTTATAATCTCTATTTTATAATCTGATTTCTAAATCCTTATAGGTTTATTTAAAACAGCTTTAACTCGCGACTTCATCCGCGTATAAATAAACAAAAAACTTGCTGGGCTATAATAGTGTAATTGTATTTTTAACCGACTTCAAAAAGGAGGAGGTACTCAATTCAATTGTATTTTTTATGTGTTACCTCATAACTTTTATAGGTGAACCGATTTTGACGATTCTTTTTTATTTGCTGGTGCTTCTCATGTGGTTCCATATAAATTTGATCAAGATCTGACCAGTAGTTTTTGAGTTATCCTTAATAATGCGCATTTAATTGACGTCGACTACATTAAAGTCGTTCTCGTTTTATTTATATTGAAGTCGGTTGTACAAAATGTTTAATTTTACAACTTGTTGGGTAAGTAGTTCAATTACCATTCAAATCTTGAAAATGCACTGTAAAACCGAGTTTTTGCTAATATTTCAAAAATTAGGAGTATATCCAATATGGGAAAAAGATGAAAATAAAAATTGAAGATCTATTTATTTCACGCACAATAGTTTTATCACCTCATCTATTAATGATCACTCATATTTTTTATTTTTGTAAAATGGCGTTGAAGTAAAACCATTCATAACAATTGATTTTGCATCAAACCATTAAGTGATAGAAGATAAAGTATTAGGGCCTTTTTTGTGTAAATTATAAACCAAGCGAGTATTTTTCAAAACTTTTTATATCCCTTTACAATTTGAGAGTACCACAATTTAACAGTTTTTAGATTTTACAAAAAAAATCTGCATGTTGTTAGGATAAACATCATGCAAAAGCTTAGTGATTAATCTCCCAGTAGTTTGTCCTGCTGTAAGCTCATTAGGACAAGTATTTTTTTTACGACGTCCTGCCGGAAGACTGGATTTTATCTAGTCCTAACAATAGTGCTATGAACTTATATGTGACCTCAAACTCGGTCAGGAGTAATAAAAATTAGTGACAGGATCATAAGTACAAAGCACAATTTATAATTAGATCAAATATTTGAACAGTGATAGATTCACGCGGCAGCTTTTTCTGTCGCACGGATGAGCCGGCTCAAAGCGGGGTGGTACCACGACCTCACAGAATACCAACGTGAAGTAGAAGTTACCTCTGCGTTTCGCTTGACGAGTGCAGGTGGCGGGAGGCCCAATTTCCCCTAGGTCAACCGATTGGGATGGGATGCTGTCATTTTTTGCATCCTACCTTGGGTGCGATGCAAAAAATGACCGCACGATCCTAGCGTTGTTGCTGATATGGTACTTCAGGGTATGGAACTTTTTAATGTGTCCTCTGTGGTGACCATCGGAGGCAGA